GAGCACCAAACTCCAGGATGTACAAACAACTCAAAAAACTCAACACCAACAAAAACCAAATAACCCCGTCAGTAAATGAGCAAAGGAGCTGAGCAGACACTTCACAGAAGAAGAGATATGATCGGTCAACAAATACATGAAAAAATGTTCAACCTCACCATCCATTAGAGAAATGCAAATTAAAACTACACTGAGAGTTCACCTCACTCCAGCCAGAATGGCAGTCATCAAGAATACCAGTAAAAGTAAATGTTGGCGAGGCTGTGGGGGAAAAGGCGCACTCATCCATCGCTGGGGGACTGCAAATTGGTGCCACCACTCTGGAAAGCAGGATGGAGATTCTTCATCCCCTCCCACACCACTTCCCTTCCTTAAGGAAACTCGGGGGAAGATTTCAAACTTCCTACAAGACCAGAGATGGCCGATCAGAAGGTCCTCCTTTCTAGAGGCCTCTGTTCCTACCTGTGGGGATGCAGGAAAGATGTCCGGCTCGGACCAGTGGACCACCCTAAAAACCAAAATGGAGTGGCTGTGCTAAATTTGCTTGTCACCACACCAAGACCCGCGGTTATGCGCCTCTCGGGGACACCAGGGAGTCGGAGGCGGGTTTCCCGGAGGCCAGGCTCCGCTCCTCTGCTCTAAAGCCTACGAAACCCAAAGCGCCTGACGTTGGCCAAAGGGTTATTTTTCTCTTGTCCTGTTTGCATCTTATGAGGAAAGGAACGGCAGCCGCCAGTCGCTTGCCCTTGCTCTCTGCTCCTCCCAGGCCCCTGTCTGGGAAGCCAGCCTCCTCGGCGGCTCAGTGGGACCCGTGGTGCTGGCTGATTCTGGAAGCACAAATACAGCCCGGGAAGATCTTCAGCCTGATTAAAAAAGAAGTTCAGGGTGACTCTCCGGGGTCCTCCTGTGGCGAGTGTCCCAGGCCTTGGGCCGCCCCACCCTTGCTGCAGGCAGGATGCTCCGCCTGCGTTTTGGTTCTGCCTGGGAATCCTGCACCCTGTGGGGGCTGCCAAAGAGAGCTACWGACCGACCGTGAGGCACAAGGGCCCCGTGCAGGCCCCAGGCCACAGTGTAGGAGGTTCCAGGGTCACAGCCTCCTGCACAGCACAGGGTCACGTGTCCATCTTCTCCCCGAGGCCCCACCTGCTCCTGGGGCTTATTTTGGAAACTGATGGTCCGGCTCAGAGGCTGGCATCAAGAGCTGCRCCTGCCTTCTCTCTCCTGTGTGCTGCAGGAAGACCAGGCTGCGGGGCTCCTCAGAATGCAGCCTGAGCCCCAGCCACCAGCTGGAAGCGGTGTCTGGCAGCCCTGGCCCCTGCAGCCCAGGAGAGACCACACACAGGGAAGTCAGCATGTTCAGGCTGGGTGGTCATGTGGAGAGGTTGCAGCTACAGTGGATCAGAGAGGGTAAGTGACCCCATAGGAGACACACAGCAAGGAAACAGAAGTCATGATGGACTCTGGGCTCTGGTCCTGGGCGCTCCTCTCTTCTTAAGCTGGCTCAGAAGGAATTGCAGGAAATTCCTAGGAAAAGACTTGGGATGCAGGTGTTTGGACTCTGTGGGGTCAAAGGGAGGAACCAAAGGTCTTGGCAGGCAGTGGAACCCTCCTCAGGCTCAGAGCAGGCACCATCCCGCCCTCCCATTGAGAACGGCTCCCCACACGGCCCTGGGTCGTTCAGACTCCTGAGAGATGAGGGCCCCTCTGCCACAGGAGGCCTCAGGGCCTCTCCTAAGACCTGCCACATTGCTGCTGAGGCACCACTGTGTGCTGGGTCCTACAGAGCCTCTGGACAGTCACAAAGCCAGCCCCCTTCCAGGAGATGCCCCTGCCGGGCCCTGGCCAGAACAGCTGAGGTGACCTCTGAATGAGCCTGTGAAAGGCACCACTTCCTCCAGCAGCAGGGGCCCTTGGCAAGCAGAGGCACATGTTTTGCTCAGTACACAATCTGAACAACCAGACAGAGACAGTGCCCTCAGAGCTCTTGACCTCGGCTGCCTGGCTGGGGAGGAACAGGGAGCTGCCTGGGCTGCAGTCCCCAGTGTTAAAAGGCCTGACCAATAGAGGCAGCAGCCCARGCAGCTCAGCAGGACCTTCTCGACCGACACGCAGACCCAAGGARGACAGACGGACGCGCTCAGACCTGCCCCGAAGGCCACGGACAAAGCCACCTGGGTCTGCAGCTGAGGGCGTCCCTCTGCCCCAGCCCCAGCCTCCCTCCCTGTCACCCACTCCATGCGTCCCTCCCGCCCAGCTGGAAGGCCGCATGCACACAGACACTCGCTGGCCACCCTCCTGGGGTGCTGGTCAGGGGTCCCAGGTAGCAGCCCCCTCTCCGACCACCCATTCCACAGATCGGCCCCCCCTGTTGCTGATCCGTGTAGCCGAGTTTTGCTGCATCAAATAACCGTGTGGCCCTCTTCATCTGGCCCTTAAGCACCTGCCTCACCCCCGGCCACCGCCTGGATCCTGGGGACGCCGTCGCCATTCCCAGAAAGACTTTCCAGTCGCAGCGACTCTGGAGGTGGACATCTGGCCCTCACCCCTGGACTCATCCCGGAGTTCACACCTCGCAGGTGGCGCTGATAGCGCCGAAGGCCACAAGCTCCCCTGCTCCAGGACCCTGGCCCAGCCCTTGCTTGCTCTCAGCATCCTGCCTTGAGACGTCCCTCCCTGCGTATCCCTGCTCCCCTCCTGGCTCCACCCAGGGGACACTTCCTTCGGGAAGCCCTGGGGCTCCTCCTGGGTCAGTGCCAGTTCTGTGCCCATCTCCTGTACTCTGCCTGCTCGGGCCACTTGGCCATGGTCTGGCAGAATCCTGGAGGATAGGGGCCTGGAGCAAGAGCCTGAGACCAGCCCAGCCTCACTGCCCTGGAGGTGCTCAGGGAAGCACAGCCTGCGGGCAAGCCAGTCGGGCACCCGAGTGACCACTCAGCACTGCTGCGGCCTGGCCCACAGCCAGCCCTCCCATCTGATGCCCTGGGGRACAGGCGGCCCCATGTGTCCCGGGGGAGGGCTGCACTTACCTCGCCAGCTCCCAGGGAAGTCCTCCACCGTAGCTTGCTGACAGCCGGTCGATAAATTGTTCTGTGYGCAGTGGCAGGGCTGGCCCATCTGGCCGGTGTCCAGAGCCTCGGGGTCAGTCACTCAGAGTGGCCCAAGACCAGCTTCTGCAAGCCACATTCCTGCCTGTCCTCTCTCCTGCCCCCAAGGGCGGGTCTACAGACCAGGTGAGGAGACGGCAGGAGTCTGTCCCCCACCAGGACAAGGTGCCCAGGAATCGGCACAAGGCCGGCCCAGCGGAGACACTCCAAGGGCAGCCCTGTGAGCCGTCACTGTGGGGAAATGACTTATTCCGGAGTCACCAGGTCAGGCTGCARAGGTGGTCTTGCCTTCCCGGGAGGGACTCCCTGGGTGGTCTCTCCGACAGGCCCAGAATGTGGGCAGAGGCAGGAGGGTGCAGTCACCCGGCATCCGAGGCTGGGGGAGCGTCCTGGAGACAGAAACGGCCACTCTGCACCCTGCTGGCCTCCTCAGCCCTGCTCGGTCCGTCCGGGCTGCTCCTCTCCCTCGCCGTCTCGCACTCCAGGCTCCAAGATAAAGGGGGATGGAGGAGCTGAAGAGGGGTCACTGCGACCCTCTGACCTGCCCACAGGGGCCTCGCTGTTGGAAACGACGGACAYGGAGCACGTGGACACAGAGGGGTCAGTTACATTTCAAGACTTCAAGAAGTGACCGCAGCAGGCTTTCTGATCTGGGGCCCCAGGAGGGGCGGCAGGGGTCCCGGGGTCCCTGAGTGGCGAGACCAGCGGCATCTCCTTTGTCACTCTTTCCCAGCGCCCGGGCAGGAGCGGCACTCGMTTCACAGTTACCCCCGATGCTCACTGATACCTGGCGGCAGAGCCGCTGGCCATTAGGAGTGCAGGGTGGACACACGACCRCTCACAGCACCCACAGCCCATGCGGAACGGACGTGAGCCCAGGAGCACCTGTCAGTGGTGCCCCAACTTTCCTGGGAAGGAACCCCCCTTTCTAGAATTGCTCTGTGGTCAGTCAGGTGACACGTGAAGGGGCGGGACTCCCTGTGCTGCCATGTTAAAACAGAATCTGGGGGCTCTGCCCATCTCCTGGGAGCCCCATTCCTCATCCTCGTCCTTCCTCGTCCTGACATGAAGATGTCCCCTCCTCCAGGAGGGAACAGTGGGCAGGTAGCCTGGCCTTTCCTGGCCGCTGACTTGTCCTCGCCAGCCCAGCAGCGCTGCCCTTCCCTTGGCCTGTGGCTCCGGCAGGGCAGCCGTGGACTGCAGAGCGGCTTATGGGCATGTGTGTGTCTCTGGTGGCTCTGTGGGGACAGGGCCAACACCGCTGGTGTCTTTCACTCCTACTGAGCTGCCCGGATCAACAGATTTGGAGCGAATGGGCTGATTAGAAGTTTCTGGTTTCTTTAGTGTTTTCATGTAAAATGTATAATTACTAGAGGAGGGAACACCTTCGAAAACATGGGGGGGACGGGGAGGGCCCGGGGGCAGAAAGTGAGAGTGTCTCCCTGGTGGAGCCGTGGCTGCCAGACCTCGCTGGCCCACGGCCTCCGCACCGCTGCGGCTCGGCTGGGTGGCCCTCCTGGAGCCGCAGTGGGCACTGGAGGACGTCCTTCAGCCCCTGCCCTTGTCCCCCTGGCCACAGCCAGCCAGCTATGGTCTCCAAATGTCTCCAATGTGGTCACACTTTGCCGTGGGGATGAAGGTGCCCGGCTGAGAAGCAGGGCCTGGCGCGGGGGGTGGCGATGGCTGGCCTCTGCTGCCAGACTCCTCGACACTCCCAGGCACGGCACGGCTTTCCTCCCAAGCCTGATGGGGAACACAAGTCCCCACGCCAAAGGCAAAACCACTTGCCACTAAATGAGAGCTCTGATTGCCACCAATTTCTTAAAGCACCCTCGGAAGGTTCTGCTTCAAATATTTATGGAGTCTATGAAAAGCCCCGGAGAAGGAGTGCTTCTATTAAATTCCTAACTGCAGCGGTGATTTATTGACCTGGGAACTGCCGCAAATGCTTTGTCTGAGCTCTTGGTGAAGAGCCAGGATCCTTGCCGGGCTCAGGACCTCCGAGGCTGGCAGAAGGCTGTGGGCATGGGGGCCAGGATGGGGCTCTCCTCCTGGTTCCACGGTGACCACTGCTGGCCCAGGTCCAGGATCCAGGGTGGGCCCCGAGGGCAGAGGCAGCTGGGGGCAAGAGCAGAGAGAAATGGTCTCCCCACAACGTGTTCATAAAAGCCCCTCAGACTACGCCTTCTCTCCAAGGCAGAGGTGACAAAGATGACCAGCTCCCACTGAGCATTCTGCACCTGGGCCCGGTGTCCCTCACCTTCTATTGCAGGGTGTGGCTGAGGAAGCCAGGGTGGGGGTGGGGGAGCCTGTCACACGCGCCATCCAGCAGGTGCCCGCCAGTACAACTGCTGCTGGCCCTACTGAGTGGAATCCTCAATAGGCTTCTTGTCCCAGAGACAAGGGAAAACCAGTTTCCCGTCTGTTCTTCAGATGCCCTCCTCAGGGGCAGCTCCTGCAGGGCCCCAGAACATGCCACCACAGTAAACGCCCCCAGCAGGCTGTCACCAGGCCCCACACCCACCGGAAACGGGCCTGGTTTAAAGACCCCCAGCACCTGTCTAAGTGCTGGGACTGACGTGGGTGTCGTCCACCCCAGGCCCTTGGAGGCCGACTCCCCTCCCTCTGAACATCCTCGGCCAGCTGCGAGGCGCAGGTGCTGTCCACCAGGAAGCGCACCCCACGTCCTCCGAGCAGCTCCTCCCAGGAAAGACAGGAAGTGACCTCGATGGGCAGCAGGTGCACCTGCCTCCTTCCCCTTCGCTGGGGTGTGGGGCGGKTCTGCGCCTCCCAGCCCGGCCCCCAGGATGGAGCAAGCAGCAAGCTCCTCGGCTCGCAGGAGAAGGGGGCAACCGTGGCTGTGCCCACTCAGTGCTGTCTGCCTGAGGAGGAAGCTGGCAGCAGAGGAGCCCTGAGCTCTGTGCCTCCCCAGGTGCCAGGGACAGTGGCCACCACCCCCAGGGGCACCCACAGTGGGCGAGGCATACAATGCACAATCCCGCTGCAGAGCTGGAGGGAAGGCGCACACRTGGGCAAGACGGGCACCCAGGAGGGGGGCGGCGGCTGCACAGGGAGTGGGGAGGCTGAGCCAGGGAGGAGGAGGAGCAGGTTCTACCAGGTGTCAAGAACCACAGAGCAGTGCCACAGGAGCCCCCGTGGAGGCAACCCCAGCTTGCGCTTCACCTCGTCTTGATGATAATGACACTTTAAAGCATTCAGCGCTACCTTATTCTGTAGGGAAAGAATACTCTAATAATTTCCTATGGCCTGGTTGACCGTGACCTGGGACAGTGACTGAGCTCTTAGGATTTGCCATGATAACACACTCCATGTTGATCTGTTTGACCTACACTAAAAATAAAAAATAAAAACAACACAAGGAAGTATAATTACCCCACACACAGATGAAGAAGAAGAGACCCAGAGAGGCTAAGTGATTTGTCCAAGGCTATACAGCTAAGGAAGYTGAGCCAAGACTCAAACCCAGACCAGGTGGCTCCAGAGCTGCGTGGCTCCCCACAGCTGTCTACTGCTGAAGCCGGACGCGGTCCTGAGGGTGACCAGGGTCAGGCTGTGTAGACTTTGGAGGGTGAGCCAGCCTCGCMGGCTGCAGGCTTTCCAGCCTGTGGGGAGGTGTGTGTTCTCAGCCCTCCTACCTCTTCTTCCTCTTTCCCCAAGCTCAGCCACATGACTGTGACCTGTGACAAATTTAGCTGCTACCCTTCAATACTCCGTGACCTGCTTTTCCTTGTAGGCCAGGATCCCCTGGTGTGGTCACTAACTCGTCCCTTCTCACCCAGGAGGCCCTTCCCAAGACAGCCTGGCATGTGGCCCACAGTCTGTTCCTGCCCAGGGCAGGGAACTCTGTTCCCAGCTGCCCGTGACAATGACCAGGACCTAGAGCAAAGCCTGACCTGCCATGCTGGGGACAGGCGCGGTGCCCAGGGCCTCCTAGGGAAAGAGCCCAGCCTGCACCTTGCAGGTGGCGAAGGCCTCCCAGGGCCAGGCAGCCTGCCACCCTGAGGCTGACATTGTCATCTAGCCACCAGCAAACCCAGGTCCCCGTGCTCGGGACAGATTCCATCACCAGATCTCCACCCCGGGTGGTGGTGCTGAAGCAGGACCAGAACAGCTGAGAGGCGTGGACCCCAGGGCCCTGGGGGGCACCACAGCCTCCTGCCCTCCCGCACGCTGGCCTGTGTCCTTGAGCCCTCTCTGTGGGTTTCTGCCCTGTGTCCCTGAGAACAGGTTCTTCCCCACCCTGGGCTCCAGGGCAGACCTTTAGCCAGGGCCTAGTTTGGGGCCAGCCTGGCACCTTGGACTGGCCTCCTCTGTGCACCCCTCCCTCAGGGCAAGGGGGGCTGGGGCTCCCTTCACCTCCTGGCACCTCTCTGCTCCCTGGTGCCCCTGCTGCGGCCACCCTGGATGGCCTGCCATCCCCCACCTGCTCACCCGCCCGTCTTGCCTGCAGCGCCTTCTGTGGATAACGCAGGGCAAACCCAGTCAGAGGGGATCTTCTACGGGAAGACCAAGGTGGAAAGAAGTTCTTACTATTAGCTGATGATCAGCCTGAACCAAGAACTCAAGTGCAGTCCACCCCTCAGAAAAAGAAGACCTCTACGGAGGTAGCAATAGCTACCCTTGAGGGTGCTTCTCCTGTAATAAATACTGAAATGCACAAGGTCATCCAATTGTCCCAAAGACCCTGAGAGCTAAGGATTGCTGTCTTTGTTTTTTATATAAAAAATTGACCATAGGGACAGGAAAGACACCACAGGATTAAAAGATGGGAAAAGTCAATACCAGCAGGCTGGAGTAAAAAGATGAGGCGCACACAGCTCTGTTCAGCAGCTCGGCCGCCTCCTCCACCCAGAGACGGATCAACATCCCGCTGAACTAGCAAGGGCCGGGCTGAGATTCAAACTCAGATCTCCAGGCCCCAGAGCTCACAAGTTAAGTAGGTGCTGCCCCAGAAGTGCCCCACTAGGGTATTTTGGACCAAACCCGCCATAAGYAGAACTAGGAAATCTAGACACAATGTAACCGATCGTGGGTTTGAAATGACCTGGGAGCTACTGAGGCCGTGGGAATATGAGGTGCTGAAATGGAAAGCAGGAGAGGAGACAGCAGGGCACCAAGGTCCCTTGTCCCCTCGGGCGAGGGCAGAGGGCAGAGCCTCCTGGTGAGCCAGACGGCTGAGGGGTGTGGGGTGACGGGAGCTCCCAGCAGCCCAGGGTGGATGGGGCCAGGGGAGGACCCTGACAGCACCATGGCTTTCGTGCCCCAGGAGTTGGAGTGAAGGGGACAGGGCAGAGAGACCCGGGACTGGGACTCCTCTTGGAATCAGTCTGGTGTGAGGGCTGAGTGCCAGGCCCACCCTGTTAGAGCAAAGAGGAGTCCWCTGTGGGTGCAGACACCGTCGGGCAGAACCTCAAATGAGGGCTCCAGGTTTCCGTGCATGACCCAGCTCGCATTAGAAAATAACAAGGCGGTCCTGGCCTGGTGGCACCCAGGGCTCGGGAGGCTGAGGCAGGAGGATCGCGAGTTCAAAGTCAGCCTCAGCAAAAGTGAGGCACTAAACAACCCAGTAAACCCTATCTCTAAAAAAWAAATACAGAAAAGGGCTCAGGATGTGGCTCAGTGGTCATTTACCCCTGAGGTCAAATCCTGGTAACCCCAAAAAACAAAAACAAGGTGTAAAGCACACAATTTGACCAAAACCAAACATTTAAAAGTGGACAACAGAAAGCGACTAGGACRGGAAACCAGGGACCCTTGGGGTATTGGTTCGGTTTTATTTCCTGACCTACGGTGGCATTATAGAAATGTAGCACTTGGAAAATAATTGCACTTTGATAATTGCACTAGATTTTCAATAAACAACAAAATTACAAAAGTAGGTGACTGTTGTCCTCTCACCTTTGGCGAATCCAGCCGAGCTGTCGGTGCTGGCCACTCAGCCTTGGGAAAAGGCCAGGAGTCTGAGCGCCACGGGCTTTGGAGGACACCGTCTGTTTCAGAACTCRGCAGCTGTTCCTGAACTAGAAGGGATGGTCTCAGTCAAGCCTYGGCCCCGGGATCTGCTTCAGAAGCACAGTCTCTGAGTCCCAGGATAACGTCCTTCATTCTCCCACTGTCCCTGGCCATTCCAGGTCCCCACCGCCACGGCAGAGGCCCTTGAACTTGAGTGTCATGCCCCTCCTAAGACTGTCCCTGCCTGGTGGCTGCCTCCCCCTGCTGGCCACAGCCCGCAGTGCAGCGTCCACCCAGCCAGCTCCCCGCAGGGAGGATGGCACCCTCCAGACACCTGCCCAGACACCTCTCCATCCRTCAACTTGAAAGATGAGGAAGCTGAGCCAGAGGAGGGAGGGGACTTCCCTGAGGCTGCAGGGAAAGTTGGAGTAAGTGGGGCGCTGGGACCAGCTAGAACCTGTACCTCTCCAGGGTGAAGACTGTACCGACCCAGGCTGCTGGGAAAGAGAGCAGACACAGAGGGCAGCCCCCTCYCATAGATTTGGGCTGAAAAGACGCATTCCCCGTTCTTTTTCCTTCCTCTCGTGTGTCTATACTCTGCTAGGTGTAGGGCACCAAAAGGGAAGACCACAGTATCCTCCTTTTGAAGACAGGAGTCTGCAGCTCAGAGAGGCTAATTAACTCATCCCAGATCACATGAACAGACTTGAAGAGAGCGAGTTAGTCTTCGGGTAACACCATYTCCACACTCGCCTGCTAGCAACAAGCCTAAACAAATCTGTGAGCTCCACCTCCTCCCGTGCTACTGGTGAGTCCTGCCCCATCCCCACCTGATAGTAAGCACCACTAAAGGCTCAGGGAAATTTTGTCTGTTCAGGTAGCATCTTAATTTCTTGATAAAAAACAACAGAAAAGCCACTCAGGCTGCCCTAACTCTGAGCAGCTGTGGCTGCCAATCACGTGCGGGTGTGTGTGCCCTCCACCTGTGGTCACAGAGTGCTCCGGGTGCCGTCTTGCTTCCCTTTAGTAGAATATTGCAGCCCTCACGCCCCCACCGGGTACCCTTCAGCGCCTCTAGTGAAGGAGGTGAGTCACTGAGGATGCTGAGACAGCCTGCTGAGGGAAGCCCCCTTCACCCTGTGGGTGCACCCCGTGGATTCTCCCCTCAGCCCCTTCACCCTGTGGGTGCACCCCGTGGATTCTCCCCTCAGCCCCTTCACCCTGTGGGTGCACCCCGTGGATTCTCCCCTCAGCCCCTTCACCCTGTGGGTGCACCCCGTGGATTCTCCCCTCAGCCCCTTCACCCTGTGGGTGCACCCCGTGGATTCTCCCCTCAGCCCCTTCACCCTGTGGGTGCACCCCGTGGATTCTCCCCTCAGCCCCTTCACCCTGTGGGTGCACCCCGTGGATTCTCCCCTCAGCCCCTTCACCCTGTGGGTGCACCCCGTGGATTCTCCCCTCAGCCCCTTCACCCTGTGGGTGCACCCCATGGATTCCCACACAGACAACTATGCACTTGGAGTGAATTTCAGGGCCAAGGAGGGAAATGACACTTATGGTGAATCTCCAGGGCTGGGGCTCTTCTGGATGCTTCCACTGTGTTCTTAACTGTGTGAAGGGCAGGCCAAGTGTCCAAGGAGAGGGAGGGGTGGGCTCACGCCTTCAATATTGTGAACCTGACAGTGGACAGACCCTTCCCACTCCACCGACGGTCCTGCTGGCCAGGATTTTTTTCCTGCATACACAGATTCATTGCAAACTGCACTGACCTCTTACAGCTGCTGTCCCCTGGGAGCCGACGTCCAGGTGGTGGCTTGTCTAGAAGAAAAGATACCCGAGTGGTCATTCTGGYACAGGACAGAAAGCCTTGCTCAGAAACCCAAAGCCAGGGCTCTTAGGGCAGTTGCCCGCCCCGCACAGAGTCTGGGGTGGCATCAGCTCTGCTGGAGGAGGCGGCAGGCACCTCCCTCCCTGCTCCCAGGAGACACTCACAAGGAAACAGTTCATTTACTTATCAAATCTCCAAATGGAGCTGGTAACAAATGCTTTTATGAATCTGCCATTAAAATAAACTTTAATGTGGACTTCAGCATCTCCTGGGGCCCCTGATTCTGTCCCATGGGGATTCCGGTGAGGCTTAGCCTGAGTCTACCTCCTTCACCCACAGCCACATGGTTCCACAGGGTCTATAAGAGGGGAAGCAGTGGCCACTCAGCAGGTCACCCCGGTAGCCCCCAGTCAGTGGAACGAGACAACCGTGGGATCCTCAGGGCAGACTGCAGCTGGCTCCAGACCAGCAGCCCAGACCCTGCTTCCCCTGGGGTGTCTGGTGGAGCATTGGCCTGCAGGACGGAGCCCTGATGTCCCCTCCCCTCTCCACTTCAACACCCGTCCAGAGCCCCCTGTGTGCTGGCCCAGCTCAGCCCCTGCCTGGAAGCCCCACGCTCCCTGGGGACCTTCTGAGTGTGTCAGGCCCTGAGTGGCCAGTCCCTCCCTGTGCGGCCCTCCCTGCCAGCTCCTGGCACAGCTCGGCCACTSGCCTCTCACAGAGCCCAGACCAGGCAGCAGCCAGAACTCACACAGACTGACCAACCCCCAGGGCATGGACGCTGCTCAGCTTGACACCCCAAGCCCACCGCTGTGCCTGGGGAAACCTCTGCTGGCCCATGCTTGGAGCACAGAGGGTGCCTAACCTACGGGGCTCCAGGTCGATAGGAACTCAGTGGGCACCATCCTGAGACCTTGGCTCTTCTCCAGGAGGGGCCGCCGTGGCCCCTGGGCTCTCAGGCAGGCCATCATGGGGGGGGGGGGGGGGGACCGCAGCCTCTGCCTGTGGCCCACTGCGCCTGGGCGGTCAGGCCTGTCCACTGCTTGTCAGTCTGTGGTTTTTCGACAGTGGCTCGTGGGCAGAGCACCACTCCAGCAGGGAAGCCTGGACTCCCTTCCGCCCCTGGGACGCGGCTATCTTCAAGCACATGAACTTGCAGGCCCTGCCTCTGTAGCTGCAGGTTCCCAGCCCTCAGGACCCCCCCAGCTGTCCAGCTGGAACGTCTTTGCTCCTCCCAGGCCTGGTCCAGAGCTTCCTYCTCCAGGGCACAGCCCCACCTGGCCCCGGCTCTGCTCATCACGGCTGCTCCCAACCACTGCCCTCGCTGACTCGGGGTCAGAGCCAGGCACCCTCCCCAGGTGACGACTCCTCCCCTGTGACAACGAGGTTCCATTTGCCTTCACATCCCCAGAAAAGCTGCACATGCACTAAACTGGCTGCTGCGGCTCTGCATTCTGATGGGCCAGACAGGCACRCGACTCCTGCCGACGGGGGCATCCCAGGCCCAACCCAGCTCTGCAGTTACAAGTTCCGGGAGCTCGGCTGAGTCGGGGAGCTCTCCCAACCCACCTCCTACCCCGGGTTGCAGGGCAGGCCCCTGGCCTCCATGTAAGTCCTGCTGAAGGGAGAGAGGAGCCCCCAGAGCTCCAGAGAGCAGGGCCRGCAGAGCTGGTGTTGCTCTCCGCTGCCACGGCGGTGCCCACAGAGCTTTCCAGGAACAATCCTCAACGGCAGGAGCCAAGGAGAAAACCTTTGCCTGAGCCCTTGGAGACCGGGCTGCGGTCGCCGGCTTCATGACTGCAGGGAGCTCAGGACTTTGAGGGGTTGCTCCATCATCCCAGTCTCCACACTCCTCTCCCAATGAGGCCCTGGTTCTGAGGCCACRTGGGTCTCCCTGACTGTGCCCACTAGGAAACAAGGTGTTCCCAGGAGGCAGGGGGACAGGGCCAGCAGCTCCCGACCAGGTCACCCTGTGTTTTGCCGAGTCCAGCCAGGGTCCCGGCCTCCCCAGGGCAGGGACACTGTTTTGATTTGAAGGTCACTGGTGGCTGTGACAGGTGCTGCTCTGAGCATTTGACATGGGTCTCATTCAAACCTCACAGAGTTCTGGTGAGGACGGTGACCTCTACCTGGCCTAAGAAAACAGGTGGCTTACAGAGCAAAGGAACAGCACAAGGTCACAGCTTCTGCAGGATCTTGGCATGTTCACATGCAGGTGGCTCTGTGCCTGGAGAGAGGACAGCAAGCTTCACACCCCAGGAGCACAGGAGGCTGGGGGCGGGCCAGCTTGTCAGCTCCTCTACTGGACCCTCTGTCTGTCATGCAAGCCCCAAGCCAGAGCTGGGACAAGGTCACCCAGGTGGGAGCAGGGATGAGCTGCCACGCTAGCCAGGGCCCACTCCCAGGTGAGCCCTGCGCTCTTCCCACCTCCTGTGGCATCCAGGCTCCTGCCTCCCAGGTCACCAGGAGGGGACAATATAACCAGGTACAAACAAAAAAGGGTGTCACATTTGGCATGTGAATGTCCAAAACTTGAGTCTAAGTGAAAGCTAGAAAAACAGATTCCCCTGGGGCCGAGGTATAGAGAGGAGGGGAGGACAGGAAAGAGGCCCAGGAGCTGCCCAAGAGCTGCCCACTCAAGGTGAACGTGAAGGAGGGTGGAATTCACCCCCAGAGTGGTTTCAGGGGTGCAAGAACAGAGGAAACCTACGGTCCCCTTGTTCCATCTCCACCTGAAACCAAGGAGTTGGCAAGACCCTGGTGTTGTCAGSGCTCAGAGGGGACCTCATGGAATTGACCCCAGATAGCCAGAGCTGGAGAGGACCAGCAGAGCTGGAGAAGGAGACTCGGGCGAYGCAGCAACCTGGGATGCTGCTGACCAGAGACGTGGGGGGACAGCCGTCAGCAGATGGCAGCACAGGTGGGCAACAGTGGTCAGGTGCTGGAAGGAGGGGTGTGGGTGCTGGACCAACTGAGGCTCAGATTCCACCCCCACCCAAACCAGGGAGAGAGGAGGAAAGGGAGAGAGAAAGTGCAGCAGGGGAGGTGCCTGCTGGCCCGGCCAGGCAGCCATGATTCAGGCCACACATCTCGTAAGGACAGAGCTCCAATAGCCTACCACCCTGTCATGTGGCCTTGACAGGTCATTGAAAAACCTCCCTCCCAAGGGAGGGGCCAGAAAAGGTGAGCCACCCAGCACTCTGGGCACCCCAGGGCTCGGCGCCTCCAGGGATGCCCATGGAAGACCTACCTAGAGGCCCACACGCCCTCCAGCCCCAGCCCTGGGAGCCAGGAGACACCCTCTGTGCTCTGGCACATCCCACCCTGAGTCTACCAGTGACTCCCCAGCTGCAGGCAGCCCTCCTGGGCTCTCAGCCAGAGCCAAGGCCTCCATCAGGAATTCCCTCTGTGTCCTCTCTAAGGACAGTTCTTGCCCATAAAACAAGGTGCTCTGCACCCACTTCCTGGGCAGCTGCCAGCCGCAGCAAGGGGCTCAGGCTCCCCGGGGCTCTGCTCGACTGCCTGGCCTCAGGCCTTCCCGGCCTGGACCACTGGCACTGCACCCTGCAGGGCCTGCTCCTCTGAGGGCAGTGGCCAGCCACACCCTTGCGTGGTCTTCCCCAAACCACTCCCACCCACCCAACTCCTCCAGCAGCTTCCCCTCAGTGAAGAACTAAGTGCAGATGCGCCTGCAGGGTGGTCAGGGCCATGTTCTCCCTCTTCTGTGACCTCCCTCCTGGGCAATCTCCTTGTGTCCGGCCTCCACCATAGGCCTCCTCTGGGGATCTTCTCCTTTTCCTCCTCCTCCTCTTCCTCCTCCTCCTCCTTCTTCCTGCCTATACCAGGACAGATTCTGCATACTGAAGCCTGGCCTTCCAGCCCCAAGAGGGACTGCCCCCCCGAGGGCTTGGTAGGTGCCAGACCCAGACCTGCTGCCCAGTTCCCTGAGCCCTGCCCAGCAACAATCACCCAGCCTGCCCTGGGGCAGTCCTTGCAGAGCCCTGCAGATTCCCACGGCCATGTTCAAGCCCAGCTCCTTCTCTGCATATACGGAGGCTGAGTTAGATGGCGACTTAGAGGTGTGTGTCTTTGAGCAAGGCTGGCACCCCCTTGAGCCTTTTGAGAGGAATAACAGTGATGTCCTGGTGTGGCCAGCATGATCTGTAAGTGTCCTCTGCCAGGGTCACAGAGCTAGACAGTGGCAGAGCTAAGAAGTTCAGGAACCCCAGGCCCTGGCATCTGCCCACACAAGGACCAGGCTCTGACCCATGCAAGGCTTCAGCACCTTTCTTTCGAGCAGCTGAACTATCCCCATTTTACAGATGAGAAAGTGAAGGCTCAGAGAACACCCTGTGTGAGCTGGCACCCGTCTGAACCCGGGCACGTTTCTTTCCCAATGCTCACCATGAGGCACGGTCACCCCTCCCTGGTCCGTGTGCAGGTGTTGGCCTGTCTGGTCTCCACTTCTCCCCAGGACCTGCATCAGGCCTAGCTCAGGCCAGTAGGTGCTCAGTAAGTGCGTGGCATGAAACCGCAGAGCCAGGTTTTGGGTTTGCAGACCATGCACTTGGGGGTGTCCTCTGAATAGTGCCAGATGGATCAGGAAGGACAAAAGCCACCTCAACAGAGGGAGTGAGGCTGGGCTCAGTCAAGACTGGACAGGAATGCAGAGGCCAGCGCAGCTGACATTGTGGAAATTGACAGTGTCCTCTCAAAGGACTGGATCCTGGCTGGGGGGAGGCCCGTCCAGCCCAGGACAATATCCTCACAGGAAATGGAGGCATCAGGCCAGTGACAGCAGCACGCTCCCTGTTCTCATTCCAGGCTCCCAAGTGACCTTCTGCCTGTAAACAGTTACCAACTARCAAATGAACACACTGGTTATGAATTTGACTTTCTGGATAACTAGAGGAAAAGAATGTGCTGACRTATTTATCCATCGCCTGCACCTCGCCTGCAAGATACTTCAGCCTGCAACAAATCCCAGCACATGTCACAAATAAATACAATGATTCAAAAAATACTTGAACTTCTGCTAAAGTTCATTTTCCTAGATAATTAACTAATCAGTTAATGCTCCGACTTATGCCTCCGTGTCTGGGCTCAGTCCTCGTCAGTCAGCCTGGCCGATCCCAGTGAACATTTTGGATGTCGTTGCTGGGCCTGCAGACTAAGGGGAAGTGGGGCCCTTGCTGCTACACGCCTGCTCTGCAGACAGTCAGYGGCCCCCCAGGGTCACACCTGCTGCATTCCACACTTCCTGGAACTTTGCTTCAGTTCTGCCTCACTCGACACAGTTATTAGGCCCTGCTGAGTGCCAGGGACTATGTCAGGCACTTCACGATTCTACCCTCTTTCCTCATCCCTATGCCAGCTCCGAAGAGCATGAACTTTGGGGCAGAGAAGAGCACTAGACCTGGAGTCCGGGCTCTGCATTCAAACTCTGGCTCTGCACCACGTCACCGAGGCCCTAGGCAGGCCTGGTGGGCCCCAGGTCTCCATCTCCTGGGCCGCGCAGTGGTTTGGCCTGGGGGGCATCTAGGACTCTCRGAGTCGGGGTGGGGTAAGGAAGGGATGGAGAAGACAGTGTGCTGGGGCAGAGCCAGGGGCACCAGGAGGAGCCTCTGCATGGGTGGTGCAGCCAGGAAGCCCTGCAGCCAGGGCTGGAGCAAGAGCAGCCAGGGGGCACCTCCCACTGTGGACTGCAAGAGCTGYGCTTTGTCCTCGCACCATCAGGAGCAGAACTAGACTGGTGGGGGCGTAGCTGGCTTGTCCCCAGGAACGGGGCCGCATGTGTGTGCGTGGGAAGACCTGGCTGAGCACYCATGGGCACCCAAGATGCTGCTGTTCAGCKGCAGGCAGAGCCCAGAAAGGGCCTYCTCTGGACCTGGACCAGTGAGAACTGGTGCCCCTCACCCCGTGAGCTGTGGTGAGACTCCTGAACTGACGGCCTCAGTCTCCGCTTCTGTTGACCCTCAGGACAGGAGACCCTCATCTGTCTCACTAGCTCATCACTCAACAAAAACCCCGAGCAGCTTCTCGGTGCCAGGGGAGTGCTACAGAGTGTCTCTGTCCCAGCCAAGAGGTGCCAAGGAACTTCTCAGGCAACATGGGGAGTATCCCCTACATGTGCCACATCACACAAGTCACATGCAAGGAGGACAGAGAGGGGGTGTGGCTAATTGTGGTCCTGAAGATTCAAGACCACTGCCTGRGCAAGGACTCACGGGATGTCCTTGAAGGATAGATGGAGGCTGCTGATGGACCATGTCTCCTGTAGGAGGTGGCAGGGCCAAGGCCCAGAGTCACGGTGTACAGCAGTCACATGGGTGGCATGACATCATGATGTGGGACTGAGCTATGATCCCTCTTTGGGTCCATCCCGTGCACTGTGCCATGGGCACTTTCAGGGTAAAAGACTGCCAGGTGCACCTGCCTACCATCCCAGAGCCCAGGCACTGGCCCAGGGGAACAGCCAGGTGGAGTTGGAGGGAGGCAGAGGACGGGGCTGGCAGAGCTGGATGAACTGGGCAGGGCTGGCAGGGCTGGACAGGACTAGGCAGGGCTGGACAGGGCTGGGAAGGGCTGGACGGGACTGGGCAGGGCTGGGCAGGGCTGGGCAGGGCTGGACGGGACTGGGCAGGGCTGGATGGGGCTGGCAGGGCTGATCGAACTGGCAGGGCTGGATGGACTGGCAGGACTGGACGGGGCTGGGCAGAGCTGGTCAGGGCTGAGCAGGGCTGGACGGGACTGGGCAGGGCTGGATGGACTGGCAGGACTGGATGGGGCTGGGCAGGGATAGTCGGGGCTGGACAGAGCTGGACAGGGCTGAGCAGGGCTGGACGGGGCTGGGCAGGGCTGGACAGGGCTGGGCAGGGCTGGATGGACTGGCAATGCTGGACGGGGCTGGATGGGGCTGGGCAGGGCTGGACGGGGCTGTCTGTGGGAATGTACCTCTGGGAGTCCAGTGGTCAGGAAGGCAGCAGCATACTCCGACAGTGCCACGTCGTGGACCATGTTCTGGGCCATCTCAGAGAGCAGGAGGTCAACAGGCCCGTGTCTGCCTAGCTCCCGCAGTAGCCGGGTGATGAGGTGGTTCCTCCGTAGGCACTTGTGGACCAGGGAAGCCAGCTTGGCCTGACAGGAGAGGAATGTGGGCGSAGAGCTCCCGCAGGGCTGCACAGTGGGGCTGGGGGACCTGGGCGGGCGGCTCCCTGCTTCCCACACCCAGCTCTGCCTCAGCCCAGGGCAGCAGCCCCCTGCATGCCTCCTCCATCCAGCAGCCCGGTCCCAGGGCTCCCTGCTGCCCTCCGARGAGTCCAGGATGGAGAGCATGGACCTGGGCCCTATTGCTGAGGCCAGGCTCCCTTCCACACCTGGATGTGTCCCTCTGTGCCACGGGGCTGTCCAGGGCACCAGGAGACCTGCAGACACAGCCTCCACAGGGTGCTTGTTTGTTAAGCACAAGGGACCAGGGTCCTCGTTTAAATCAGGGGCATATGACAAATGATAAACCCAGAGGCGGGGTGGCAGCCCTGTGTTTTTGAGCTTGACAGTTTACTTTCCACGAATTCTCAGCAGGAATCACTGAGATTTCTATCTCACAGATGCACAGGTGAAGCTCAGATGGGACGGGGACTCTGGGAGGGACATGACTCAGGGACTGTGCGGCCTGCATTTCTGATTGAACAGTTGAGGAAACAGAGGCCCAAAGGGCAGAGGGCTGTKGGGGTCCTGGTGTCACCATGTTCTGCTGACGCCCAGGCTCCTCCCTGTCCACCCGCCCAGAGACCAGAGGGAAGAACAGACCCTCCCATCCTTCCCAATCCAGGCCCAGATCGGAGGTGTCACCCTAGCCAGCTTCCAGGCCCCCAGCAGAGAACRCGGAAGCCCGCAGGCCACAGAGCCTTCTTAGGAATTTGTCCCAGAGGCTCACATCAGGATGGGTGGGGACACTCCAAGGAAAATGCAKGTCAGTGTTCCTGTGCAACAACAGGAGAGGCAGCAAAGCCACCAGCAGGGCACTTTGAACTGAGGCCCTGGAGCACTCTCCACCGCCAGGGCCTGGAGGGTAGGTCACAGTGCCTGGCACCTTCTGGGTCATGCCACCAGGCAGGACCCAAGCATGTGGGTCACTTGGCTGATGAAGGTGGCTGATCTCAGGCGTGGGAGGAAATATGTGGAACGCTATCTCCAAACAGTGACATGGGGGACTTTCTCTCCTTCCCCCTTCAGTTTAGCATCGGTGTTCCGGGGGAWGGGAAACACAAAGGCGGTTTGAAGGAGGCAGGTGGCGCTGACGTCACGGTCCCCTCACCTTCAGTGGGGCCACAGCCACGTCGGCCTCATGCTGCTTTCTCTGGAGCTCTTCCAGCTGTGAAGGAAGCGGTCTTGGTCACAYGGTGCCCCGCTGCTGGCCATCCCCGGCCTCCCCGGGCAGTGGACTCAGCTTGACCCCTGCCTCCTCGCCCCCTTTCCTTACATGAGGACTCGTCCAGGAACGGGGCCTCTTCCATCCCCACTGAGCGGGACCGAGGCTGTGGCCCTGCAGAAGGCACTCTGCCAGGCCGCGGTCTCAGCGGCCAGCTCTGAGGCTGCTTCCGTGGGGAAGGACGCCTGGTCCCGAGGCCCTCACAGAGCCCAGAGACTTCCAGCCTGGTGGCACCACTCAGCCACTCACTGACACCCCTGCCAGTCCCTCTGCCTCGGTTTTTTCACCAACTGGGGGGATGTCACTGTCCACTCAGGGTGAGGTCTGCAGCGAGGACACTGTGGATTGAATGACAGAAAAACCGAGAGTCATCCTGGCCTCAGTGGGCACTCGGTGGATGGCAGCTCTCCTCATCACGCACGGGGCTAACCTTGGACACAGTTGCTCTGAAGCGGCCCCTGGAGAGGGGAGTCAGGAYCTTCTCTCAAATTTGGTCTGGCCCATGGTGCTCAGCTCCCAATATAGCAGAAGTGACACCTGGCCTGGCCTTTGAGAGGACAGGCGTGTCCACTTTCAACCCTTTTCAGGGTAAGACACAAGGACAGGCCCAAAACAGAGGGCAGAGGTCTGGGTGTGCTGCCCCTGAGCCACCCTGCAGAGGTGCCAGGCACATGTGCATGGAGCCAMCTTGGACTTTCCAGCCTAGTCCAGTGTCCAGTGAGTGACCACCGAGTAACCCCCACTTGTGCCCAGCTGAGTCCCATCTGAAATCCTGCCCCATAAGATGTGAGGCAGTGGCTATGCCTGAGCGCTTTCCAATAGTGAAAACCCAAAAAGCTACATTAGAGGTCCCCAACCTCTTCTGGCCTCTAATAGTCCTTCAGCCTCCCATGCCCACGTGCATCAGAATGTGTGTGTATGTGTGTGTGTGTGTGTGTGTGTGTGTGTGTGTGTGTGTGCATGTGCCTACAGAATTACACTATGCAAAAGACACGGCACTGTGTTTGTCGTTTGATGGAAAACCCTGGTGCGAGTTCCACAGGAACCCGAGCAAACCGACCTCATCCCTTTCAAACATGAGTATTCTTCCACCATGAGGCAGAAACAAACCACTTCTTTGTTTATGGGAATTTTTCTGCTTCCATTTCTTTGCTTAATAAACAAGCCTTCATGGATATTTCTATAAGCCTGTTTGGGGATACCTTTTGGAATATATGCAAAATTTCAGCTTCAAGCAGACTATCTCATATTCAAAAGGCACTTAATGATATTTGCAGGATTCCATGAGACCTTCTCCCCACCTTGGTTTAGGAAATGGCATGAGTGTGTTGCTTTGGAATGAGTGTGTGGACGTTTGCAATTAAAAAGTAAGAAGATGAGCCGTAGATGAGGAGAAACTGCCTTTCAAATCATACATCCAATTGTTCTTCAGTTCTAGTGTTTTATGGACTCCTTAGGATTTTCTACATGAAAGACTGTGCACAATTATTATGTATCAATTCATATTAATTAAAATTTGAGATAATCACAGAATCACATACAATTGTAGGACATAATGGAGAGATCCCTTGTGTGTTTTGTCCAGTTTCCWCCTCAGTAACATTTTGTAAGACTGCAGTGTAAGGTCCAATGAGGGACTGCATCAATGCCACCCCTGATCTTACTTGGGTTCCTGTGGTTTCACATGAGCATGTGCTTGGTCAATGCAATTTCACCCCATGGAGGCTGCATGTGGCCACCCCACCCTGATCCTGGCAACTGCGACAGCGCAGGAATCCTCTCCAGGCCTTTCAGAACACACCCACCCCATTCCCGTAGATCAAGGGCTTGACCTTTCTTTATGTAAACTTTAAGGCTGTGTAAAAACCATATATATGTGCATTTAAAAATTTTATTTATCAGAGGCTACTGGTTGGAGGAAGGACAGTCCCCTTCTTTTCCCTCCTTACACCAACCTATATTTAAATATCTAATAGACATTACCAAACCCCTGGGAGCAGAGTGCTCCCACGGAGGAGGTGTTGGCCCCGCCTACCTTGCCCTTGAGCTCCTCCTGCCGCTCCCGGTGTGCCCACCCCTGGTCTCTGAGCTGGCACTTCAGGGTCTGCACCTGGTGACGGAGCCGCTGGACACACAGCCTGGGGTCCTCTTCAGATGCCTCGGCCTCTGTGTCCTGGAGCTACGGAAGGCACAGATCTGGATGAACTTAGGTTCTCGGGTACATTCCCCCCACTTTATGTGGTCTACCTATATTTTCCTCATAGAAAGAATAAATAGAACTTAGAAATAAGGGGACAAATATTTTAAAAAACCCCAATCCCACCAGCCAGCAGAATGGTGGGTACCAGCCCTGCTCCTCCATGCCTTTCCACTGTCCCTCCTGTCCACGGTGAGTGCAAGGCTCACACTGGGGTCCCGAGGAGTGTCGGGAGGGTCCAGGGAACCCCAGAACAACAACCGAGAACATTATTCTGRAAAACATGCCACGTGCCGTTTGTTGAGCCACAGTCTGCTTTCATAGTGGTCCCTGGCCRCTATCCTCAAAAGAGAGTCCCATGGATGGAATTTCACGTCCAAGTCAAATCATCAGACACTGAATCTATTAAAGCTTCATGTCTTTATATAAAACAGAAAATGCTGGCTTCCATGAGCTCACCCTTCTTGGACAGAGCATGAGGGCCACCCTTTCCCCTGGCTGCAAAGGACCTGTGGGAGGACACAGCCCTGTAGGAAGTGGGCTAAACAAGGGACACCCCCCCATATGGTCCTGGATTCTAAGTCCCGATTATTAGAATAACTTACACCCACGTACAGACTCGAGTTTCTATGTGTTCMCACGCACCCACAGATTTTTCCTTCATGAAAGCTAGTAAGCAACACGTGTCCTCRACTTTTCTCCCTTAACTCCAGGCCMCGAGATTTCCCCTRTGGCCAAATGCTGCTGAAAATGCTATTGTCAGGATGTGGGTGGCCTTCTGTGGCCGTGCTGGGTGCTGGGGTTGTTCTAACATTGAACAGGCCTCTGGATTCTTCCCTAGGATCATAGGAGGGGAGCTTCCAGGTCGAAGGGTGGGGCATCGGTCAGCTCAGGGTACACCAGGGTGGCTCAGGAAGGAGCAGCAGCCAGCAGCAGCCAGCAGCAGCCAGCAGCAAGAAACGCCCTTCCCTGGCCCGTGGCAGTCCACCTGGACCTAGAACAGTCGTGTGGGAGGCTTAAGGCCCACGAAGCTCCATCTGCCACCATTCCTGACCCAGTGGGAATGGTGGGAGGGGATCCCGAGCTCTTCTGTTGGGCAACGAGAGAGGAGAGGGGAGAAGGGCCAGCAGGCAGTCCACCGTGGGTCCATGGCTGACGGGCCTCTCCGTGTGAACTGGGTCCACAGGAGCAGAATGGGATGTTGTTTTTTAATTAACAGAAATTCACGCTGCGTGGGCCTRAGATTCGCAGGCTGGGCCCTGTCAAGAACAGATGGGTGCTCCGAATGCTGCCGTCCAATTCAGCTCCAAGACTTCAAAACAACTTGGCCTTTGGGAAGTTGGTGTCTCACTGTTGCCTCCCCCCTCTGCCAGTGACTTGGACAAGGGCTTTGTCCCCACAGGTCCTAGGAAAGTGTGCAGAGCAACCTCTCAAGAGAATGAGGGTCAGGGCCTGGCTGCATGTCACCCAGCTTGCTCTATAGGGCAGACATGTGAGCTACGCTCTGATTGTGCACTGAGCTTGCCTTGGGGACAGTGGTGACTTGTCCCTCAAGGAACTCTGGCAGGTGGAGAGACTGATACAGACACAAGCAATTAACACAGTGTGGTAAAGGGCAACCCAACCGGAGGCTTCAGAAGCCTGCAGGAGGCTGAGCACCAAGGTCCACRGTAGGGCAATGCCTGGGCCCCATTCCCACAGTGTCAAAGCTCCCACTGGGACTGGCTGCAAGCCACCCAGAYGACGCAGTGAACACAGAGAGAGAGAGAGGTGGGCATGAGTCAGCTCCAACACCCTCTTCCCCTAGCCCAGGCCGGGGGTTGCCCCCCAAAAYGAGCCCTAAGGGTAGGCAGCAGTTGCTAGGAGGAAGCTGGGGTGCAGAGAGGGCAGGTGAGGGATGCAGASAATCCAGGCTGGTGGCCCTGGGAGTGCGGTGGGCAGAGCTGAAGCTTCTAGAGCCTAGGGCCAGGGCATTGCTCATGTGAGTGGCTGGCTTTCGTACCTAGCGTGACAGTAGCCTCAGGAGGGTTTTGGGCCCAAGARTGGCATGGCCAGGCTTGAGACTAAGGGTGACAGAAAGGGGGACTTTCTTCACCCCTTCCTCTGTCCAACTCCAGTCCCACGGATTCTACTCTTAGTTACTGACCCAGGTTCTCAGCTGCTACGCCTCTTGTCTACAGAGCCCAGACTCCTTCTGTCCACTGCTTCCCACAGCCCACTGTCCCCTCTCCTCGCAGCAGTCACTTTTCATGCCTTGGGTCCTGTTGTTCTCCTGCTCAAAATCCCACTGTATTTAGAATGGTCAGCGGGAGCCTAGCAGCCTCCTGGGATCCTTCTTGGGAGGTTTCTCCAACTTCGCCTCCTCCCAGCCTCGGTTGGTCCACGGTGGCCCAGTCGCACCAGCCCCCTCCTGTTCAGCAAACCTGGCTCCCCACTGCCGCAGAGCCTGGCCACTGCCTGGCATCCCCTGCCCACCGTTTCTTCCCAACCTTGGAAGCTGTGGCTCCACAGTCGCCTCCTTAGATCCCAGTCTGCCCCAGGTCAGAACAGCTGGTATCGGAAAACTATGGGATCGGGGAGAACACATAAAAATAGTTCTGCGCCTCCACTGGAGGGTGGCCAAGCAGGACCACAGCTCTCCAGAAAAAGGAATACAATAGGGCAAGTTCCCTCCAAGTTCCCTGGGTCTCTCTCTGAAATATTTTCAAACATTTATTAAGGAAAAGAACACCCTGATGAGAGTGGTAGCATTTCTGGGTCGGGGACAAGGGACCGAGCTCGGGGATGCTGAGACAGCTGGGGATTGTGGGACAAACAGAAAACCCAGACTCTGTCCTAGAAATGCCCTCAGGGCCTTGGCTGAATCACAGGCTGTGTGGTTTCAAGACTGAGACCCTTGCAGCGGACAGGCGCTGGGAGGCCTGCTGCCCAAGAGAGCTCAGAGGTCACATGCCACCAAGATGATGGCAGCACTCTGGCCCAAGAAAGGAGAACAGCTTCAGTGAAGGCTCTGCACACTGAGCTGAAGCCCCTGAAAGGCCCCGACCTAGAGAGAAGGCCACACTTTGGGAGTCACAGCAAGCCCTGGGGTTAGAYGGCCTGCTGATCAGCCGACAACCTGCCAAACGTCCAGTGGACAGCCAGAACAGAACCCCTTGGCCCTCTTAGAGGATGATGGTCATCAGCAATCTCCACAACCCCTCAGAGTCAAGCAAAAAAGTTCTTTCAATTACTAGACAGGTAAAGAAGCAGGTAAATGTTCACCAAGAAGTAAAACCACCAATAGAAGCAAGCAAAGAGATGGTTTAGATACTGGAGTCAGCACATAAGAAAGACCTGAAAAATAACTATGAGCTCACTTATCAYATGAAAAGGTAGACAAAATGAATAAAAACATGGAGTGTGTCAATAGACAACCAGAATCTTAAAAAAAAAAAAAAAAGAAGAAAATGGATTCTCTAGGCCTRTGAAATACAATCACTGAAATTAGGACCTCATTGGGTGGATTAACAAAACCTGACACAACAGAACATAGGATTGGCAAACTAGAGGACGAGTCAATAGAAATGCAACCTGAAGGACAAAGAGGAAAAAAAGAACCGTTTTCAAAAGATGTGGGATTCAGACAAAAACCCGAGATATCTAGGAGRAAAGAGAAAAATAAAGCAGAATAAAATATTTGAAGAAATAACAAGTAAGAATTTTTCAAGTTTGATAAAAGTCATGAATATTCAACTTCAAAAATCTCAGAAAAACCAACCAGGATCAACACAAATACCCCCTTACCCAGACACGTCCAGTCAAGCTGCCCACAAAACAAACCCACAGACAAAAAGGAAATGTGAAAAGTAGCCAGAAAGGAAGCAACACATGTCTTTCAGGGTGAAAATGGTCACTGTAACAGATCCCTGGAGAGGAACTCGGGAGGCAGGAGACAGTGGAACGAGACCTTTAAGGTTACAAAGGAAGGGAGAATGCAGGCCGCCTACAACCCCGCGTTTTAAATTGGGTGGTGAAAAAAATTGCTTTCATAAAAAGAATTATGAAGAGTCAATCACCAGGAAGCCCTCAGCAAGCTCTTAAGGAAACCAGACCCAGGTGAGGAGGAGTGAGAAACAGCACAGCTGGAAAGACAGGAGGGCAACACGATCCATGACCACTAACAGCTGCGAGGGGACAGGTGTGCCACACACGGGAGTGGGACCCAAATAAAGGTTCTGCATAATCCGAGATGTGGCGAAAATACAAATTTAAGAAATATTTAGGTGATCAACAGATACATTTGGAATTTCTTGGGTGATCACTAAAAAGAATGAACTAGAATGCATGATACCGCAAGCTACTGAGAGGAAAGGGGATAATCAATAATAATTTAAAAAGAGACTAACACCAAAAGCAAAGTCCTGAAAGAAAGAATAAAAGGAAACAGAGTAGATGAGACAAATAGAAAAAATAGCAAATAAATTTTAAACATCACAATATGGAGGTGAAAAACAACATAACTGAAGGAAGGAATACACAAACACACACTCGGACTTGGAGATCTTGAAATGCATCTTGGTAAGTGACAAAGAGAACAGACCACACACTAGTGAAGATGAGAAGATGCAGTCATCCCGGCCTAGTTAGTACCACTAACTAGTACTCGCCAGTTGCAGGGTATCCATTGCTTATGAGGGCATGTGGGATATTCAGCAAAATAGACCATACCCTGTGCATAAAACAAGTTAAATACGTTTCAAAAAAAGTAAAGTAATACAGTACATGCTTTCTGATAACCATGAAGTAAAACTAGAACTCAGTAACAAAAAAAGCCAATAACTCCCCCAGAAACCTGGAAATTAAGTCACATGTTTCTGAATAAACCCTGGGTCAAAGAGATCACAATAGATATTAGAAGCTACATTACTTTGAACTGAACAGACACAGTCAAAATCAGTGGGAGGGGGCTGGGGTTGTGGCTCAGCGGTAGAGCGCTCACCTAGCACATGCGAGGCCCTGGGTTCCATCCTCAGCACCACATAAAAATAAATAAATAAAATAAAGGCACTGTGTCTAACTATACCTGAAAAATAAATATTAAAAAAAAATCATYGGGTTGCTTAGAAAAAATTAGGTCTTTAAATGCATCGATTACAAAAAATAAAAAAAGAGTTGAAAAATCAATGATCTGAGCTTTCTACACAAGAAGCAAGAAAAAGAAGAGCAAATTAAAGAAAAGGAAGATGTAAGAAGAAGCCAGTGAAGTAAAACACAAGCAAACCATAAAGAAAATCAGTAAAACCAGAAGTTGGTTTTCTGAAATGGGATAAATGGTAGGTGGGGGAGAGGAGAGGGGCAGGAGGAGAAGGAGACGGAAGAGGAAGGAAGGGCACCTGAGGGTGGAGAGGAGAGACTGAATGAGAAGGCCGAGTGGACACGGGCTCAGCACTGACGGTCCCACAGGCAGGACCAGCACACAGGGGCATGGGGGGTTCTTCCTGGGAGTCCTGCAGGGGAGCTCCTCGGGGCCCATGGAGGGCAGGCTGAAGTCTTACCGTAGGACACACGGAGATCTGGAGCCAGCCTCCTGGGAGAGTCCCAGCTCCACCCTCACCCGCTGGGTGACCTTGGGCAAGACCCTTCACTTCTCTGTGCCTGTGTTTAGTCACCTGTTGGACGGGACTGGTGATGGCACCTCCCCCCAGGATGCTGGAGGAATACCTGGGTCTGCAGGGGGCCCTGGAGCCAGCCAGCACCAGGGAGGCCAGCAGGTCCACTTACCTGGGGGCCGCTGCGCCAGGTCCTCAGAGCGTGCCCTTGGTGGGAACACCATGGCCTTTTCTCCTCTCCCTCCAGACGTGCTGCTTCCCCTCCTGCTCCGCCCCTTCCTCGCAAGACACGGAGGACATCAGCATTTCTCCAGACCAGTGATGGAGCGGTAGAACCAGTGCCACATCTGGGATCCTGCAGGTCCGAGGCAGGGCCCGTCTGCCCTCCAGGGACGCCCACTGCCTCCTCCAAGGGTGGCCCGCAGGGGCTTGTGACCTGCCGCCCCGAGAGTGGAGTCACCTGCACCCCTCTGTCCATGGTGCACACCTTGTCCACCGCCACCTTGGTGCTTTCCTGGGGTTGCTGACGGCCTCCCAACGAGCGCGCCCTGTCCCCACGGGTCTGCAAGGCCACTTCCTGCTCCAGGGCTCGGACCCTGCGAAGAAGGTGCTCGTTCTCCCCCTGGGAGGCCGGGACCATGCCTTCCACCCCCAGCCCCACACCCCTTACCAGCTCTTTATAGCTGACCCCAAGCTCCGAAATCAGTGCCTTGAGCTCCCTCTTTTCCAGGGCGACGTGCTCCCTGGGGCCACGGGATTCCCTAGCGCTCTGGGACATGGCCCTCCGGAGTTGGCCTAGATCCCTTTTCAGTTTGTCGTTTTCCTCCTCGAGCTCCGAGATCTTGCCGTAACTCTGCGCATTGCACTCTTCCAGGTCGGAAATGGCCTGCGCGTACTGGCCCAGCTCCCTCCTGAGCTGGGCCAGGTCTCCCTCCAGCGCCCGGTTGGCCTGCTGGAGGCCGCACACCCGGGCTGCGCGTCGTGGGCCCTCTGCCTCGAGATGGCAAGCTTTATGACAGCATCCCTCTTGGTCTTCCGGAGGTGCAGCCCTGTCACATAAGACCTGGCTCCTCTCGTTCTTCAGTGAGGAAAGAAGCTGACGGAACGTGGCCCTGGCCCTCTCGAGGGTGTGCCAGGGTGTGGAGAGCGCGTTCCCGTGGAGCTCTGCAGGGTCCAGGCTGGCTTCCTCCTGATCAGGGGACGTCCCTGTAACAGCTCTGCTGGTGTCCCTTGCCACAGTCTGTTCGAGGCTGGTGGCCTCTCCGCTCTCCTCACCTCTGCTCTGCCTCCTTTGAGCAAAGCTCCAGTTCTTTCCCACCACAAGGGCCATCTCCCGCTGGTGACCCCGGCTGCCAAGTTTCAGGGTGTTCAGTTGCTGGAAACAGGCCTCCACGTCCTGCTCAAGTGCATCTATTTGGAGAGAATATCTATCCTGTCCTTTGCTCAGAGCCCGAGGGGGACCAGTGTCTTCACCCAGAACAGCCAGTCTGGGAGACTGCGGCAAGCCACACCCTGCCACCGAGGAAAGTGTCTCCTTGCCCTGGCACTGCCTGCAGTCCAGCTCCTGGGGCACAGGCCCATTCCCCAGACTGGAGGCTTCTCGACGGAGCCCCTTCTCCTCCTCCTCTTCTTGTCCCCCAACCCCAGGGCTTCCCTCTGGGGAACGCAGAGCACTTCCACACCCCGGTCGGCTGTCCTGTTTGCCTGGAACCCGCCTCTCGAGGGCTTTGCTCCTCCCTGCAGGGAGCTGACCACCAGCTGGCCATGAAGCGCTAGTCCCGGGAGCCTCTTCCTCTGGTGACAGTCCTCCCAGGAGGCCCTGGCCACAGCCTCCCACCTTCTGCCTCCTGCTCAGGGGTTCAGGCTCCTCTGGGGAGTCCTCCCCCTGCAGAGGAGGCGCTGCACACTCCTGCCAGAGCCAAGGGCAGTAGGCAGTGGCCTGTGTCTCCAAAGACACACTCTGGTCCCCCACGCCCCCTGGAGAGCAGACCCCACTCCCCACACTCAGGTCCTCACAGCTTTCCTGACCTGGCTGGCATCTGCTACCAAGCTCTCCCTCGATCCTGCCTGAGCTCCTCGCCTCCCCGCGCCCAGCTCCCCCTGCTGGGGTCCCTCCTCCCCTGTTCCAAGTGTCTTTTCTGCAGCTGGACCCGTCCGTGGGACATGGGTGATCTGAAGTGCATGGAAACCCCTGGCGGGGKGAGGCGTCGGGACTTCTTGTCTGGTGACAACACCAGCTGGGATGTGCCGCAGCACTGGGGGCAGGGGTGGACCTGGTGTCCAGCACTTCTTGGAGCTCCTCTGGGGGAGCTTCCTGGGACAGCAGTGGCAGCAGGAGCCCAGGGGCCCCAGCCAGCCCCCGGAGCGGAAGCGTGGATGTCTGCACCTGGAGAAAGGGCTCCTGGGCTTGGGCGGCTCTGAGACCCTCTGAAACCCAGGCCAGGTCCAGGGCGATGAGTGACCCGTCCATGTGCTGCGCTGGGGAAGAACCACACACCAGGAGAAGAGTCTGTCCATCCAGGCTGGGCTCCGCCAGAGGAGGCTGTGGATGGAAAGAGCCATCAGCGTGGAGCCGACCTCACCTGACGGTCTCGGTGCCACCTCCCCCGCCACACATGCTTCTGGCTCTTCTCCATATGGCCAGAAGGACACCAGGGCCCTCAAGCTGGCCGCCGCAGGGAGAGCAGTCCTCTCCTGCCCAGGACCTGGGACGAATGTCTTAGCTTGAGGCTTCTCTAAGGTAATGATGTTGCCCAGGCCACAGGGAAGGGGGGGATCAGAGAGGGGACTCCAGCCAGGGAGTCAGAGGTGGCCTGTGGAAAGTCACGGCAAGACTGAGACMTGCAGTGACTGGCCACAGCCTCAGGGCAGGTGGGTGCTGACCTCAGGGGCTGGGTGGGGCGGGCTGTGGCAGAGGAGACTGGAGCTCTGGCTGGGCACTGGGGCTGTTTCCCAGGTGCCGAGGGGATGGGGTTCCATGAGGTACAACTCTCTGTGTGGCCAAGGGCCCAGGTCCACCTGGGGCTCCCCTTCCTCCCGTTCCCCAGCCAGGTCCCAGGACAAGGTAGTCCATCCCCTCAGGTCTCCCTCTCAACATCTCCAGAACGTTCCTCCACACACGGAGCTTCCTCACCCCCTCAGCTACCGCAGGTGGCCACCCTACGGGGCACGCGCCAAGCCTGGGGCCTCACCTGTTCACGGGCAGACCCTGTGCGGCCCTCCGACAGCTCGCCCGCTCTCTCGGGGCCTGGCCCAGCTCCAGCGCAGATGCAGGTGCCGGGTCCCTCCAAGGGCTGGCCTGGGAGCAACACGGCCCTGGTTGGAAAGACCCCTAGCAGCTTCCCCTGATTGTCCCCAGCCACCACACCACCCACTGCCAGGAGAAGACAGAGATCCTCCCCAGGGCTGGAGCATATGATGGCTCCTGGGGTGGCCTGGTGGTCCCTACCCCCTCTGTCAAGGGAGGAGGCTGAGGCTCAGAGAGGCCAGATGACCAGCAGCTGCTGAGCAGAGGAAACTGGGCTCCAGGCCATACACCCCGCCTTGGGCCACAGACACAGCACTCACGCCCTGGGCAGAGTCCGAGCCTCCCACCCTGGCATCCTTGTCTGTCAAGAGGGCCATAGATACCGCCTGCCCAGCCCTGCACGGCCGTCACGAGGACAGAGGGACAAACACAGGCGGGCCAGCTGGGACCTGGGTTCACTTGGCAGCTCTGTGTCCTGGACCAAGGGGGTGGCACCCCCACCATGGAGGGAGCAGGCGATGCCCCCTGAGCTGCGCTTGGCCCTGAGGGGCTCTGATGGAACCGTGAACACGGCCTAGTGGCAGGGAACGTGCAAGTCACGCCTGGGCCTGTCGTAAGAAGCACGGCTCACTTGAGGGACAGATGAGGGACAGGGTTCCAAGGTAGCAGCTGCCAGCCCAGCCAGGTGTGAGCCTCACTCCTCACACCCGACCTGCCACCTGTGGGGACAGGCAGCAGCTCCCGGTCACCACAGGGCTTGTGTGAAGACAAGGCCCTGCAGCCACCCTGCTGACGTGACAGGGCCCCTGGCTGCCACCCTTCCAGGGTTGAGAGCATGAGTCTAACTGCCCAGATGTGGCAAAGTCAAAGATGCCTCACGGGCACTGCAGACTCTGGTCCGACTTTCCCCGGCTGTGTGACACTGAGCAAGTGGCACTGCCTCTCTGAGCCTCAGCTCCTGTCAGTAGAGGGGGAGGCCACCCACCCCCGTATCTGTGCACTGAGGGGCTGACCCTGTGCTGAGGGTGGTTCAGGCGCCCCCCCCCCCACGCACCGCAGCACCCACAAACCTGCGGAGGCCTGACGTCCCTGGGCACCGTCGAGCCGGCCTGGGCTGCAGGGACCCAGTGCCCCCTCCCTGGGCTGGCATGGCGAGTCATCCTGAGCACGGCCCAGGCCACCCTGGAGGAAGGCAAAGGATTCAGGATAGCAGGTGCCCTGGCGGGAGGGTGCCCTGCTCCCCTTTGCAGACCCGGGCGCCAGGCCCACCAGGCCCCGCTGCTCCAGTTGGCACCTGGGCTCTTGCCATAGATAACAGGGATGGCATTCTGTCCTCAGAGGAGTCTGTCTGTCCAGGCAAGATGCCTCTGGGCTCCATGAAGGGACCCAAGTGTCCCAGCCCTCCTTCCTCTGCGGTTCTGGCCATGTCCCACCGAGGGAGGCCCAGAGGTTCTGCACGATCCTGCTCTTCAACTGTCAAGTTAGGAGGCCAAGCAGGTCCCAGGACCACCCAGGGACACTGGTCTGGACCTCCCTCAGCCYGCACACGGCAGGTGCAGGCAGAACACACAGGAAGGCGGGCAGCCGGGACCCACTAGCTCGCGGTCAAGTCCGCAGTGTGTAGGTTCTGACAGGCGCYGGGTCTGCTCAAAGCCAGGGGGAAACAGAAGGGAACAAATGCCCTGTCCCCTCCTCACCTGTCCCCAGATGGGAACAACTGCCTTAGAGGGCCCCTGCCAGGTCCTCTGGCTGTCCTCTGGCTTCCCTCCTCGCTTCTCACAGCCACCAGGGAGACCCTCTGGGCACCCCCTGCCCTGCAAGCCTACAGAATCCGCCCTGTGCTGACAGAGAGCGCCGGAGGTCCCCAGGGCTGTCACGGCTGTCCTGGTCACCCATGTCCTGTGGGTCCCCTGCCCTCTGCACCCTGGCCCTTCTCAGAGCAGCCTCCTGGCCTGCCCGGCGGGGCCTCACTCTCCCCTGGTTTGCAGCTCTGTTGGCATGGCCGGCCTGCCGCCTGCTGGGCAAACCTGCCCTGTCCCGCTCAGTTCTGCCTTCCTGTCCCACCCAGCTTCTGAGCCCTGGGGCTGACAAGGACACTGGGTCTCCAGCCCACTGGTCTCCTCCCCCGCACTGCGAGAAGCCCCTGCGTGGCCTCCCGCCCACCCCGCGCCGGCCCACCTGTGCTCCAGCAGAGGCTGAGGGTTAGAGGTCAGGGCTGGGGCCGAGCGGGACCCAGGGGCTCTGGCAGGCCTGCCACTCTGAATCCTCCCCTCCTCTGCAAACTGGCTTTGTGACAGGTCTGCCTGGGCGCACCCATGCCACATGAGACAGCAGTAAATAAGGGACTCGGTGGGAAGGGGCTCAGCCTCTCCTAAACTTCCAGCCAGACCCTCAATGAGGCTTCCTCTGGCCTCCCTTCCCTCCCCAAACTGAAGCCCCTGTGACCCTCCTTATGGCCTCTTCCTTGCTCCAGCCTGTGACGCTTATTCATCTGGGTCACAGGATGCTCAGGCCCATTTCTGCTAAAAACCCAGGGACCTTGACCCTGGCCACGTCGTGGCATGTCCCGAGGACTCTCAGCAGAACCAACCGGAATCTCGATCCCAACCGTGAAAACCAGTACCGCAAGCCAGACCGGGGGTACTAGCCTGTGTCCCCATGGGTGGGCCTGCAACTGTCCCCTCACCGCCTGTGTCAATATTTAATTTTTAGTTGTAGGTGGACACAATGCCTTTATTTATCTTTACGCTGAGGATGGAGCCCAGGGCCTCGCACTCCACTGCCGAGCCCCAGCCCCAGCCCATCCCCCACTGTCTCTATCCACTGGGCTCCCACTTGAATTGAATGCTCTTATGCAAACCGTAAGCCATCATTAAGAGAGAGAACGCAGGAAAGAAAGTGGATGAGAATCAGGAGAGAGAGAAGGGTCGGGGTGGAGAAAGGAAGAGGCAAACTCCAAGTGAGAAGGAGGAGGAGAGGGGCTGAAGGGAAGGAGGGAGTCAGAGGTCACAGGTCCCATCTCAAGAAGGTGGACATTGTGCTCACGGCCAATCCTGCTTGGATTGTGCTACAATACCAGGTGGCTCCAGTTCAATGCAACAAATGCTCACTGACCACCAGCTGCCAGGCAGGCCATGTTTTAGAGCTGGGGACACAGCAGGGATAAATGCACACATATCCCTCCCCTGGGGGACCATCCAGAGGGTCAGAAGAGTACACACTGAAGTTATCCACTGTCTAGCTTACCCCCTTCATTTCATAAATGATGAAGTCAACACACAGAGAGGGAGAGCAACCTGTCCAAGATCAAACAGCAAGTCAGTGGGAGAGAAAGCAGAGCTTGCCCCTGGTCTTTCCTCTCCTGCACTGCACTGCTCAACCTGTCAGCCTTCCCACTTTCAACACAGAGGGAACACTTGCCTGTAACTTTATCTTATTTTATCCTTAATATGAAATTTTTTGAAAGATAAGCAAAAAGAAGAAACCAAGGAACACAAAGATATCTGGACACAAACATTCATGTGTTGGAAGGCACCCTTCCAGACACTAGGTGGAGACATTCCCTATGCACAGACAGCTTAAAATTCTATTTATTCAAAATATAATTTTTGGGTTTCTGCATTTTTCATCAAAAGTCCCAGAAGGATAGTTTCTCCCCGAGTTCCAGGGTGGTCCTGGGTGGCTTCCCTGAGACTCTGCTGTCCGGCCTGCCTGGCATTACCCAGCAGCTCCATCTAGGCTGTCCCCACTTTTTGCCACCTACAAACACGCTGGGAAGGACATCACTATAGCCTCTCCTCACGCCCTCTGCGCCCCCTCTGCAGACAGGCTTGTGAGTCGGGAGTGCGAGCCTCGGGCACAGGTGTGGAGTGCTCCTTGATTGATAGCCTTCCCAAGAGGCTCTGCCCATCTGTGCCCGAAGTGGCTCAGGCCCTGTGCAGCAGCAGGTGCCTTTGACATTTGGCAAATGCATAGAAGAAAATGGAGTCTCAAGGTTTTGCTTATTTGCATTTATTTTTAAAACAGTAACAATTCTCGTGAGCTCACTGTCCATTACCTCCTTTCATGTGGTTTGCAAACGGTGGCTTCGCTGTCTCCGACTGTTGGCGCGGCCTCTTGGAGCCCTTGCCTGCTGCTCCAGTGAGTGGCAAGTGGTGGATGCCTCCTGCCCAGGTGCAAGCAGCTGCCTGCCATTCCCAGACCGTGAAAAGACGGGTGTGGCGGCTGCCACTAGGGGTCGCTCTACACACAGCGCAGAGGCGGAGAGACAGGAGGGAGCACAGGAGCGCAGGGACCAGATGTGCTCTCACCTCCAGGATGACAGCGGACAACTGGGCATTTTAAAGAGGCTGATTTTGCATCTCTGCAGAGCCTCTCTGTGACCCGCGGGCCTGCACTGCCCTGGCCATCCTTGGCTGCAGCAGCCTGGCCACACAAATGCTCACACTGGCGTGTACATCTGCCGCCCCATGTTGTTTTTGAAGAGCAGGTCCCTGATCAGCTCAGCTCCAGCCCCCGTGCCTGGAACTGTGCTAGGACATGACAGTGTTCCCAGGAAAAGCTCCAACAGCCCCTCCAGCGTCACTTGCTTTTAACTAACTTAAAAGTTGCTAATCTGAGAAGTCACACAGCTGGACAATCCATTGTCTCCCATTAGCTTGCTGTAGAGGACACCTCTGTCACCTCTGCAGTGGAGGCCATGGGTTACTCTTCAGGGACCTGAGGCCATTGTCACCCAAATATAGACTCTTCACTTGGGCCCACAGACGTCCAACAGGGTGACCGGAACAAGAGGAAGTTGGTTGGCGCCTCTGTCTTCAGGTTGTGTTCGTCTCCGTGGTGTCCCGAACCTTGGGGACAGATTCTGCTCAGTTCTGCATGGGACATATGATCACTGGAGAGATGTTGTCTGGAACCATGATCCAGGGTTACCTTGACCTGGACAGATTTGCCCAGGCTCTCTCTCCCCGTTCGAGGACAAGGACAACCGCCAGGCACCGCCAGCAGAAATACTAGACCATGAAAGGAGGGAAAGAAGGTGGCCCTGAGTCCCTGGACGACTGCTGCCCAGCTCCAGAAAAGACATGGCCCTCCTCCCCTTTACTAGCCGACCTAGCTCCCACTCTCGTTGGTCCCATGTCTGTCCCCTCTGAGAGCAGAGTGCCCACCTCTCCAGCCCTGGGCCACCAGCCCAGCCTCCCTCTCCCCACATCCTGTCTGTGGCATGGGGTTTCCCACGAGGTGAGCCAGACCTGGGTTGTGTGACAGTAGCTGCCGCCATGTCCTCACAAGCAAGCATTCATACACACTTACAGGTAGGCCGCACTCTCCTGGCCAGGTCCCTTCACCTGGGACCCTGAACAGAAGCTCCCTCTCCAGGCTCCTCCCAAGACTGGGAATGTCCTTGAAGTAGTCCATTCTTTGGGGGACCTGGGCTCCAAGCAACACGCTGGAAAAATTTTAACTGTGTGACACCTGGAAAATCAGGGACTCCTCTAGATTATGGGTTGGGGACAGGGACACTAATGCCTGCCCCAGCTGCCTGACAGCACCCAAGGGCTCCTTTTCAGGAAA